GGGGTACGTCCTAAGAGGGTATACCTCCTGACGTCCCCCATCTTAATCTAGACCGACTGTGTACCCTATCTGTGCCATACAGCAACACTCCTTAACAACTCCATCACCAGGTACACTCTTTAGCCAAAACAGGAATCGCTCAGCACAACATAAATTTGTTTGACCCGTATTCGACTGCACCACTTGGCACACTTTTCCGCAGTCCTACGCACTTCAAAATTCAACCAGTTAATCATCCTCCAACTCAAACATGTACTTCTTGACACTTTTCGCCGTTCTGTGTGCATGCCAGCACCACGTTCCTGGATCTTGTACCAGGTTGTCCGTCGTCAGATTCTTCTCCAGAAGTGCCACATTGATGTTTTTGCCGATGTCCACCAGCTTGATAGTATGCTTGATGCCTTCTTCCCACCTCGGATCCGGAGTCACCTGCATCACCTTCGCAAACTGCCACCCCGCCCTCACAGTCTAAAATATAAATAGGCACCGATCATCGCCTTACTTCGAAGACTCGGTCTACCACGTATGTCACAACAAAGTTTGTAATCTTTCTGCACGTGTCTTTCTCCCTTTCTACTAGCAATCGTCCTTTTTGCACCCTGAATACGGTACCTCCGATACCTAATGTTCCCTCCGGCCGATTGTTCCGGCTGCTCATTCCAATATTTAAGTACCACGTCCCCATATTGCTCTAACTCTACTTCATGCTCCCACGTACACTTAGCCAACCCCGTCCAATGCGTGTAGTACTGAACCGCCCCCTTCCCACTTATACCTCGACAAATCCTGNCTCCCACGTACACTTAGCCAACCCCGTCCAATGCGTGTAGTACTGAACCGCCTCCTTCCCCCTAATACCTCGACAAATCCTGTGCCTTGATATTTTACACGGGACCAATTCTTTACTATCCAATTCTTCCTCCACGTCCTCGGCCGTAAGGTAAAACGGAGGCGCTAACTCTGAAAACTTATTCAACACATACTTGCTAAAGCCCCACGGCAAGAACCTAGGTCTATCCTCGTTCTCGTGCTGAGTATAGCACTTCTTACACCGTTATACCGACACCCTCTCGTNTCTTTCCGGGCTCATCCTTATTCACGTTCAAAAACAAAATATTCGGGCCCACCTTTTCTCCGTCAAGACCATCCCCTGGACCCACGATCAACACCTTATACGGCCCGGTCCAATTATGTGCCAACTTCGGGATCAACGCGAACGATTTTTCTTTCCCCCTACTATTCACTCGCGATTTAAGCACATGTTCCCCCCCGCCAGAAATTGTACCCTTCTCATCAAACACCAAGACCCAGTCCCCCTCCTTGCACTTCGGCCTCTTGCCTATTATCGAGTTTAACACCTGATTGCTCTTCTCATGCTTAGCCTTGGTTATCTTATCCTGCTCTCTTACCAGCTCGTACTCCTTCCTTTGCTTATCCCTCATCAAATTCAAATAGTAATCCAATTGGTCTTGCTTTAGACCCTGATTTCCCGAAACACCCCTTCCCTCCAAGATCGTCATCGGCAATTTCGGGTACCTCCCGATGTGTACTACGTTGGGTGCTAGCCCCGTCCCTTGGCTCACGTTATTGTTGTGTGCCGCTACCGCGTGTGGTAGCATCTCATCCCCATTCGCCTGATCGTCCGCAATCAAGTGCGACAACATTTGACACAGCGTGTGATTTAAACGTTCCGCCATCCCATTCGTCTGCGGATGATATGAGCTAGTGAACTTCTTCACAGTTCCCAGCATCTTATACACCCCTTTCGTTACCTCATTCGCAAACTCTGCTCCCCTATCTGACAACATGGTGTGCGGACAACCCCACCTCGCGATATAGTCGTTCACCATGATAGAAACAAAACCCTTCGCATTTTTCTGCGCCTTCGTTAGTGGGTACCCCTCGGCATGCCTGCTGAATAAATCTACCACCAGAAACACGTACTCGTTGTCTTTCGTCGTTTTCGGCAACGGCCCCAAATAATCAAACGACACCATCTGCCCCGGTCTGCTCGGAAGAGGCAACGACACTAACGGCCAACACTTCGTATGCCGCGGCACCTTCCGAAACTGACAAGAATAACACCTACGGATCCACCACCGCACGCTTTCAGCCATTCCTATCCACCAGTAAATCCTCTGTAAAAAACCTAAAGTCACTTTCCCTCCCAAATGCACCGCTTCCTTGTGGGCACAATCCATGACTCACGGTCTCAACATCCTAGGCACATACGTCCGAACTGGCTGTTCACCCACCAACCTCTCAAATTGCCCTGGATTTCTATTTGGATTTTCCGCAGGGGCTTTTAATTCTTTCCTCACCAACAAATGCTTCGAATTTGGCAACACCAACAAAGTACCCTGGGAAACCAACCGCTTCAACTCATCCAAGTCGACATCTACCCCTTCCGGAATATCTCCCTCCTTCATTCTCTTTGGATCAGCGTGCCCTTCAATTGCCGTAATTGCTAATCGCGCCGTGTCATCTTTCCTCCTGAATATCTGCCCAATCACTAGCCGTCCTATCGCATAAACTTTCCCCAAATTCAATTGCCGCTTGCGTCTGTTCTTCATCATACTCTTGCAACGGAATTTGAGGCAACGGAGGTGCTGCCGGACCCCTGCCCCCGGAACCCCTTCCCCTACCACCACCAGCAGCCCCTCTTCCTCGACCCCTTCCACGCGCAACAGCCCTGCTACTACGAGCACTACTGCCACCCCCACCACCAGTAACAATCCCACTCCCACGAGCGTTACTACTACCCCCACCACCCTCACCACCAGAGGCACAGCCCCCTCCTTGAGAAATAGCATAAACTCGCGATTTTCCCACCAATCCCAACAAGCGTCTGCCAACTTCCGTTAAAGGAACCGCATGCAATATCAGCCCTGGCTCAAACTGACCACTGACTACTTCCCCACTCGGTTCCACCAACCGGGTGTCATCAGGCACACACGCACCATCAGGCAAAGGGTTGGACACGTCCTTTCCCCTTTGGATCAGCGCCCACGTCTTGTCTGCCAGTTCGTCCGTAGTGAGGCTTGCCGATGTACAGCCACCTTCCCCCACCACAAAATCATCGCGATGGTTCGACCCAGCGAGCGCCTCTCGCTCGGTATACACCGGACCCAATCGCGAAGGTATCACCCCGCTCGCACCTATCATGTAAACATCGAGATCAGACGGATCAGTCAGCCTGACATCTGGTGCCTCATCCTCTTTCGTCGCAGGCAATGGCAACCGTGACATCAAATCGGCATTTGCATTCTCTCGCCCTGGTCGATACTTCAGTTCATACGTGTACGCTGACAGGAAGTCATACCACCTCTGTACGCGATTGTTTTTCTCTGCCAAACTCCCCAAATTTCGCAAGGGTTGATGGTCACTGTACACTTCAAAGGGGATGCCATAAAATAGTGTTCGATTCTTCTTAATCGCCCACACTATCGCACCCGCTTCCAGCTCAGTCGGACTCCATCTGGTTTCATTCGGGAATGTGGATCGGCTCAAAAAGCATAGCGGTCTAATACTCCCATCTCGTTGCTCTTGCTCAATTACGGCTCCCAAGCCCGAAATCGACGCATCAGCGGTTAGCCGAAACGGCCGCTCTCCCGATATCGCACCCTCATAACACGGAAATGCCAAGACCGTAGGACCAGACAGAATATCCATCATCTTCCTTACCACCGCCACATGATCAGCCGTGAACGCAAACTTCTCTCCCTTTTTCAGCATTGCATTGATCGGTTTCAATTTTGCCGACATGTTCTTCAGGAACTTCCGATAGTACGACAAAGACCCCAACAACGATCGTAGCTGGCTAACATTAGTGGGCATTGGCACTTCACGCAGCGGTCTGACCTTTTCCGGGTCCGGCCCGATCCCTTCCGCCGTGACTTGATGCCCCAAGAACGTCACCACCTTCACCCCCAGGTTCGTCTTCTTGGGTGCCAGTTTCAGGTTGAACTTGACCATACGCTCGAAAAACCTCTCCAGGTCGCGCACGTGTTCTGCCCCGTCCCTGGAAAAAACGATCACGTCATCGATAAACAGACGCACACGTTCCAGTCCGTCACATACTCTGGCCATCACCGAATGAAACCACCCAGGACTACTACTGAGACCTTGCGGCACAGATAAAAATTCGTACAACCCCGTAGACGTGATAACAGCAGTGATCGGAATGCTGTCCTCCTCAATACTGCACTGGAAAAACCCACTGACCAAGTCCAGCGTACTGAAGATTTTCGATTTGTCCAATTCCACCAAAATATCCTCCACTATCGGAATGGGCAATTTCGGGATTACGCTCATTTTATTGATGCGCTTGTAGTTGACCGTCAACCGCACACCACCGTTAGCTTTTGCGACTACCACCAACGGACTTGCCCAATTGCTGTATGATCGCCGCAGCACACCCGCCAACAGCAATTTGTCAATTTCGATCTGCACCTTTTCGTTCATAACCGGCGAATAGCGATATGGCCTCTGCCGCACTGGCTGTGCCCCCGGCTTCAAAATGATTCGAAACGGATCCACCGTCACCCGTCCTAAATCCGAACCACCCTTTGAAAAACGATGCTCAAACTTGCACAATAAATCACCTAGTTTGTCAATGTCCTCTGCCTCCCACAGTTTCGCATTGAAGTCGAAATGGACGTCTCGAATGTGCGGAGGCACTCGCTGCCACAACCGCCTGAACGCCACCTGTTGCGCCCCATTCAAAGAAGACATAACATCCGCGGGAGGTTCGTCGTTGGGCACGTCAGCCTCTTCACCCTCCTTAACCGCAAATACATTTTTGAATTCCTCATTTTCCACCAAACGAGCATCATCCAAATTTACCACCTCCAGGGGTTCACCACCATACCCCAAAATATCTTTTGGTTTCACCAGACACGAGCTATCCCCCACTCTTCTTAGAGGAATTTCAGACGTGCCATTTTCGACTAATGCTTCCTGCGGGAACCACTTTTTTCCAAACTGCACCCGGTACGTCCCCACCGCAGCATCACTGCCATCAAGGTTGGTTAATTTTACCTCAACCCATGACATTGCATTTGGAAGCCATCGTCTACCACCATTAGATTTTACCACCACCTTTCCATCACCTTCCGTTTCCACCATACCAACCGCGTTACCCACCCATTCCTCAAAGCGGTGATCTCCTGCCACTTTATCAGTATTTGCACTGACAAAAGTGACAATTGTTTCTGTGTCCGACACGTCTTGGAATCTGCGAACTGGAAAATCAGCCCAACTATCCCTCCCTAGTATCAGATCATGTCCCATAGCTGAGTCTGGCACGATGTACGCATACACACTCGTCCGTACCGTCGGTGTACCGAAATGAACCGGCGCTGATTTTCCGCCCTTCCACATTTCAATATTTAATCGCATTCTTCGATCTGTAACCAACGGCACCCCATGGAACCCACCCCACTTCTTGTTTAGTCCTGTTTCGATGCTATCAGCTGAAGCTGAACCACATGCTAACATCTTTTGCACACACCTTTCTTGTACAAACGATGCCGGACTTCCCGTATCCAACAGAGCCTCCCACGACATCATCTTTGTCGCTCTCGACCCCGCGAACACTTGCACTCTAGTCGTATGCCGATGTCGATCCATCGTCAAATCCCCACCGACCGACCGAGTATATGGTGACAGGTAGTCCGCCGCTTCACCTGTAGCGAACGTAAAAGGAGGCGGAGGGTACACCGCATTACTCCTTTGTCCTGACACAGAACTAACAGATACTTGTACGGCAAAAATGCGATCTGTTCCTTCTTGTGCTTCACCAAAAATTCCTCCCTCCTGCGCTGTTTCCTCAACCTCACGCTTGAGAGAATTCTCAGAGGCGGATGCATCCCCTATCACGCCCTCTTCTCCTATCACTGGTAAAGCAAGAGTTTCATGGTTCTGCTTGCTGCCAGCACGATCAATGGTAGCGCTTTTTTCCCTTCTAGTGTCCCCATTAATCGACCCCTTTTTGCTCCATTTCGACCAACTGTGTGTTCCGCTTGAGGATACAGCGGACACCTCACTGTTCTCGGAGAATTTGCCTTGCGTGTTTCCTTCCTTTGAGTGTTTAACGCATTCCCCGCTGGTGTTGCATTGTCAGTAACATTTCCCATTCTGCCAATGCTAGACTTCGTTTGATCTGACGAAGGGGGCGTGTTCGGCACCCCTACTTCTGGAAAATCCCTGTGTGTCTTACTAGTGATTGGTTCCTGAAGCTGTGCACGTGCATCTTGCGACACAATACGACCAAGAATTTCTTGCGGGGTACTAGTCCTTAATACATTCTTGCTCCCACGGCCGACACCCGTGCAGCTCAATTTGTCAGCACCCGAAACCACTTGCAGTTTGGAATAATTTCTTCCACCCTGCTTGGAATACTCTTAGATACTGAAAAACGTCGCTTACCGTGGTTGGACGAGACGATCCCCGTCGCCAGGCCATCACCCTCGGTGTTGTGCACCACCGATCGGCCCCCCTCCTCCTCAACAATCCCACCCGCCGAGTCGTCTTCGATGTTCTCGCGTGATGATTGCTTTCGCTTAATTTCAGCCTCCCCAAGATTCTGTTTTGATCCCGGTCCTGGGCTCTGCTTTCTTCCCTTCTGTCCGCGATATTTCTTTTCGTCATCACAATACCCGGGACCTCCTTCACCCTGCACCATCACTCCTCGAGATCTCTTCAATCTCGTAATAATTTTTACCCCTTTCACTCTTCACCTTCACTCCGCGAGAATTATTTTCTATTTCGCAATCCGTTCACTCCTGTTTCCCTTCACCTCTCCCTCCTTCCTCTCTTCTTTCTCTGCCTGATCACCCACAAAGCATCTTGGCCAAGGTGCTACCGGCAAGCTGGCCAACTGACCGTCGCACCATCAGTTAGTTATTCCTCTCCCTCCTCCTCTCCTCCATCCGATTTGATTGCCATTGCCTCAGGCGATGCAACCATCGATCCCACCTTGCCTTCACTTCGGCCTTTGACTCGGTTGCCAAGTTTTTGTTCAACATGTTCGAGGTGTTAATGTACCCCTTGTCACAATCCCGCACAAAGTGTCCCTCACTGCCACAGTTCAAACACCTTAATCCGAACGCCTGCCTGTGCCTGTCCTTTTCCTCGACAGACGTGAACCACGCGAAGAAAGGGCAATCAGTCGCTTGGCTGTTTGTGCGAGGCGCGGCGTGAATGTCATAGACTCTCTTAAACTCTGCACATTCGTCCTCGTAATCCATGTCCTCCACCGTCATCACCCTCCCCCCATATCCACCATCTGACCTGCCAGGAGAAGCGGACCGAAATGTATTCGTTCCCCCTGACCCTGTCCTTCCTCCTCCACACCCTCTCTGTCCCTGCCTCCACCCCGAGGAGCTCTTTACCTGAGCCATCATCCGCGTCGGAGTCGTTGCCCCCCCCTTCACCGCCTCGAAATTTCGCAATTCATGCATCAAGGTGTCGATGTTATCGAACGGCACAACGCCCTTCTCCTTGCCCTTGAACACGGAAGCGGTCAAAACACTGTATTGATCAGACACACTCTCTCTGACTGCCAGTTGAATTGTGTTGTCCTGCGGCGTCACAACGCCCAGGTTCCGAACATTTTGCACCAACCCCTGCAAGATAGTCAAGTACTCGCTATACGGCGTTCCAGTAGGTGCTGCAAACGTCTGCAAGTCGTACACCAACTTCTCGGGTGACGATGAACTCACCACCCTCCCCAACGCCGAAGTCAAGAATGCCAACGCTTTCTTACCCGTCGACCCTTCTTCCATCTTCTTCGACGTGTCCGCAAAGACCTTGTCTATCTTCTCGCGGAACGTCATCGTCTGGGCAGGGGACATGGATCGGGTGATGGAAGTGATCAGATGTCTGTGCACAGGTTTTTCCCATCCTGGCACCCACCATCCATTGTAGTCCCCCACCGCCAAAAATACATTGTTGACTGTATCTTCCAACCTTCTGTTGAAAGAAACCAACTCTCCCGGGGAATCAGAGAGTGGTATCCAAGGGAGCTTAGTCCAATCCTTCATGTTCATCGTCACATATCCTGTCATGACTTTCTGTTTCTCCCTCGAGGTCAGCGGCTGGATTGTGACACTCTCCTGTTCTTCCTTAACCGTCACGACCTGCTCTGTCTGAGACACCACCTCTTCCTGCTCTTGATTGACAGGCACCGACCCCCTTGCCGTCACCCTAGGTTCAGTTGCACCTGCTTGAGGTTTTACGTCCGTGTCCTGGAGGCTCAGCCGTTTGAACTGACTTCCCATTTCAGCCAACTTCTGCTTCAGAGTTTCGATTTCCTTCTCCTTGTTCGACAACTCATCCTGGAACTCGGTTTTGAGTTCGTCATCCACCGGGGCAGTTTTTTCTTCCCTTATCACCTCTTCCTCCTTCCCTTCTTCCTTGACAGACACGTTATCCCCCCCGTCACCTCCCACCCACCTTCCAGTGTGGAAGTTGCCTTGCCGGTCGCAGTAAACCTTGCCCCCGTGAGGACCCTCGTCATGCCCCCCTCCCTGTGACCAGAACTGCTGCGGCACCTGCATCTGCGGCGGGGGCTGTTGCCACTGCTGCTGGTGCTGGTGCTGCTGCGGCAGCGGCTGCTGCGGTTGCCACTGCTGAGGCGGTGGTGCCTGCCAATCATGGCGCTGCTGCCCTTGGCGGATATTTGCTCTTTCCCCCCTCCCACCACTCTGACTAGCACCCTGTCCTCCTCGACCCCTGTTAGATATACTCGTAGCATAGTAATGTGGTTGAGTATGGGACATGGATCTACGGAGATTGCAGTTGGTAGATCGCGGAGGAACAGGGAGTTTCTGCTTGGTTTCTTCGG